TGAACAGTGGACTTGATTGTTGGGAGGATTAAATGAGACAAAGTATAAGAATGTATGAAAAGGTTTAGCACAGTACTTGCCACCTAGTTACGTTCTAAGTAAACGCTTACTATCATCGACAAAATACAGTATTGCCAGTTTTGTAACTGGTGTATATGTAAAAGCCGTCTGAATTGCTCGAGAAACACAAGGCAGTGGCGCTTACCAGGATGGGGCGGTGTGGAGAGATACGGAGTGTTGGGATAAAGGGGGGCGAGTGGGATTGAAAAACTCACGTTCCGCATTCTGACAGTGTCAGCAAAGGAAAGGAAAGCTTACAATCTCGACTGGTGGGGATAATGAAGTGAAGGAAGAAGCATTTGCGGGCATAGTTTTGGGGAAAAAGATTGATACACCATACCTAAGGGAAGCTTAAAATGTAACGGTTTCTTCTAAATTTTCTTCTAGATATGCCAGTAGTCTTCATACAGCTACAAGACTGCCTGTTGGACAGAATGTCACGTGACTGTCCCAGAATTCACTGTCCTAATCGAGAGAGGAGCTAAAGTGATTTTAGGAGTCGATTCAGACTCATAGCAACCCTATAGGACAGAGTAGAGCTGCCCCATAGAGTTTACAACGAGCTGCTGGTGGATTTGAACTGCCGACCTTTTGGTTAGCAGCCATAACTCACTGTAGTTCTTAACCACCACACCAGCAGGGCCCCAATTTTAGGAGAAAATATACTAACAAGTATGTTTTAGGAGTCAGCTTTGTGAAATAAGTGATTTGCCAGGTATTTTCTGCTACATACGGATCATCTGTTGTATTCTCTGCTTAATGCAACATTCTTTGGTTTTTCAGTATTTTCATAAAGTTGCTGGCCAGCTTTTATCTCTTGCTTATAATCTGCTGAAGAGGAATCTGTTTGCAGAAATTATTGAAGATCATCTGGCAAACAGAAGGAAAGAGAACATAGACCAGCTTGCAGCATGAGTCAGAGTTGGCATTGTTTGGTGTATATTTTAAAGTATTAACATTACATTTGTGATTTTTTTGTTTGTTTTTAAGGAATACAGAAAATAAACTGATGGAAACATTCGCTAAAAACTTTTATAAGGCTCCTCTGGCCTCTTTTTTTTTTTTTTTTTTTCATGTGCAAATAAATGGCTGTCCAATCATCCAAATGGTGAGACCCTGATCACATTGTGGAAGACAACTAAAGTTAGAGGAAGTTGCTGCCTAAGGCCTGTGGATAACTAGACTGTCCTCTCCTTCCCGGGAGTCCTGTTTCCGTATTTAATATTTGGGCAACTTGTCATTTCTTTCTCTGAGCATTGAGTTCATAGTAGCTGCAGCTTTAAGGGCTGGACTGACGGAGGAGTGGGGCATAGGGCAAGTCCATCTAGAAGGAAACTCCTGACGCTGTATCTAGCAGTCTCCCAGAGGGCCTCACCCCAGACCTACCCAGACTGCATTTTAGCAATATCTTCACGTGATTCATGTGCACTCTCCCAGCAGTCCAGTTATCCCATCAGATATATTCTTCAGTTTTTCTCCTTTAACTCAGTCTTTATTTACTAACCACCACAGTATAGTATGTTAATATAGTATTAGTATTGATATAATATTAATATACTGTGAGCATACTAATGTAAATACAAATACTATTAGCATACTAACCCGTGCGCCTGTCAGTCTGTCATAACCGTGGTGGCTTCCATGTAGCTGTGATGCTGGAAGCTCTGCCACCTGTATTCAAATACCAGCAGGGTCACCTGTGGTGGACAGGTTTCAGCTAAGCTTCCAGACTAAGACAGACTAGGAAGAAGGATCCAGCTATCTACTTCTGAAAAAATTAGCCAGTCAAAACCTTACGAACAGCAGCAGAACATTATTTGATACAGTGCCGGAAGATGAGCCCCTCAGGTTGGAAGGCACTCAAAATAAGACTGGGGAAGAGCTGCCTCCTCAAAGCAGGAAAAAAAAAAAAAAGTTGCTGTCAAGCCAATTCCAACTCATAGTGACCCTTTAGGACAGAGTAGAACTGCCCCACAGGGTTTCCAAGGAGCAGCTGGTGGATTTGAACTGCCGACCTTTTGGCTAGCAGCCTGAGCTCTTAACCACTGTGCCACCAGGGCTCCCCTCAAAGTAGAATCAACCTTAATTACATGGATGGAGTCAAGCTTTCGGGCCCTTCATGTGCTGATGTGGCACAACTCAAAATGAGAAAAAACAGCTGCAAACATCCATTAGTAATCAGAATGTGGAATGTACAAAAGTATGAATCTAGGAAAATTGGAAGTTGTCAAAAGTGAAATGGAAGACATGAACATGGATATCCTAGGCATTAGTGAGCTGAAATGGACTGGTATAGGCCATTTTGAATCGGACAATCATATGGTCTACCATGCCGGGAATGACAAATTGAAGAGGAATGGCATCACATTCATCACCAAAAAGAACATTTCAAGATCCATCCTGAAGTACAATGCTTTCAGTGGTAGGGTCATATCCATATGCCTACAAGGAAGACCAGTTAACACAACTATTCAAATTTACGCACCAACCACTAAGGCCAAAGATGAAGAAACTGAAGATTTTTACCAACTTCTGCAATCTTAAGTTGTTCAAACGTGCAATCAAGAGGCATTGATAGTTACTGGTGATTGGAATGCAAAAGTTGGAAACAAAGAAGGAACACTAGTTGGAAAATACAGTCTTGGTGATAGAAACACCACCAGAGATGGCGTGATAGAATTCTGCAAGGCCAATGACAACACAGCAACTGTACACATGGACCTCGCCAAATGGAATACACAGGAATCAAATCGACTACATCTGTGGAAAGAGACAGTAGAGAAGCTCAATATCATCAGTCAGAACAAGGCCAGGGGCTGACTGCCAAACAGACTGTTAACTGTTCATATGCAAGTTCAAGTTGAAGCTGAAGAAAATTAGAACGAATCCACAAAAGCCAAAATACGTCCTTGAGTGTATCCCACCTGCATTTAGAGACCATCTCAAGAATAGATTTGACACATTGAACACTAATGACCAAATACCAGATGAGTTGTGGAAGGACATCATACACGAAGAAAGCAAGAGGTCATTAAAAAGACAGGGAAGAAAGAAAAGACCAAGATGGATGTCAGAAGAGACTCTGAAACTTGCTTTTGAACGTAGAGTAGTAGCTAAAGTGAATGGAAGAAATGATGACATAAAAGAGCTGGACAGAAGATTTCAGAGGGCGGCTCGAGAAGACAAAGTGTTATAATGAAATGTGTAAAGACCTGGAATTAGATCATCAAAAGGAAAAAAAAACACTTGGCATTTCTCAAGGTGAAAAAACTGAAGAAAAAATTCAAGCCTCAAGTAGCATTATTGAAGGATTCTACGGGGAAAATACTAAATGATGCAGGAGGCATCAAAAGAAGATGTAAGGCATACACAGAGTCACTATCAAAAAGAATTGGTCGACATTCAACCATTTCAGGAGGTAGCATATGATCAAGAACTGATGGTATTGAAGGAAGATGTCCAAACTGCCCTGAAGGCACTGGTGAAAAACAAGGGAATTGCCGAAATACCAATTGAGATGTTTCAGCAAACAGATGCAGCACTGAAAGTGCTCACTTGTCTCTGCCAAGAAATTTGGAAGCCAGCTACCTGGCCAACTGACTGGAAGAGAGCCATATTTGTGCCCATTCCAAAGGTGATCCAACAGAATTTGGAAATTATTGAACAATATCATTAATATCATACACAAGTAAAATTTTGCTGAAGATCATTCAAAAGTGGTTGCAGCAGTACCATTGACAGGGAACTGCCAGAAATTCAAGTCGGATTCAGAAGAGGACGTGGAATGAGGTACATCATTGTTGATGTCAGATGGATCTTGGCTGAAAGCAGAGAATACCAGAAAGATGTTTACCTGTGTTTTATTGGTGATGCAAAGGCATTCGACTGCGTGGATCATAACAAATTATGGATAACATTGTGAAGAATGGGAATTCCAGAACACTTAATTGTGCTCACACGGAACCTGTACATGGACCAAGAGGCAGTTGTTAGAACAAGGGGATGCTGTGTGGTGTAAAGTCAGGAAAGGTGTGTGTCAGGATTGTATCCTTTCATCTTATTCAGTCTATATGCTGAGCGAATAATCAGAGAAGCTGGACGGTATAAGGAAGACCGACAACCTGCGATATGCAGAGGACACAGCCTCGCTTGCTGAAAGTGAAGAGGACCTGAAGCACTTACTGATGAAGATCAAAGACCACAGCCTTCAGTATGGATTACACCTCAATATAAAGAAGACAAATCCTCACAACTAGATCAATAATAAGCAACATCAAGATAAACAGAGAACAGACTGAAGTTGTCAAGGATTTCATTTAACTGGGATCCACAATCAATACCCATGGAAGTAACAGTCAAGAAATCAAATGACATACCGCCCTGGGCAAATATGCTGCAAAAGACCTCTTTTTAAAGTGTTAAAAAGCAAAGATATCACTTTAACGACTAAGGTTGTGCCTGACCCAAGCCACGGTGTTTTCAGTAGCCTCATACGCGTGCAAACACTGGACAATAAATAAGGAAGACCAAAGAAGAATTGATGCCTTTGAATTGTTGGCGAAGAATATTGAATATACCATGGGCTGCCAGAAGAACGAACAAATCTGTCTTGGAAGAAGTACAGCCAGAATGCTCCGTAGAAGCAAGGATGGCGAGACTTGGTCTCAGGTACTCTGGACATGTTACCAGGAGGGTCCAGTCCCTGGAGAAGGACATCATGCTTGGAAAGCGGAGGGTCAGCAAAAGAGGAAGACCCTCAGCAAGATGGATTGACATAGGGGCTGCAACAGTAAGTAGGCTCAGGTGTAACAGTGATTGTGAGGATGGCGCAGGGGACCAGGCAGTGTTTCCTTCTGTCGTACACGGGGTTGCTATGAGTTCGCACTGACTAGACAGCACCTGACAGTAACAGCTTACTACAGTATACTAACCAATATACCAGTATTTTAGATTTTAAAGTTTTCCATTGCAGATTATTTCATTGGGTTTCCAGTACCAATCTACAGATAGCTGTGTTTTCCTCAATTTGGGTCCTCCTTAAGCCTGACAGTGAAGATGTCCTTCAGCTTAAAAACAGAAGGCAAACCAAGAAATACCTAATAGCAGACTTCGTGCTGAAGAGCCTGTAAGCTTCTCCCCTTCATGTTCAGGGTAGAAAAGCCCACTGGTCATGGTTTAACCTCCCCATTTTGTACAAGATCGACTTTACTTACCCAAAGCACTTTCATTGAATAGCCAGTAGTTTTCCAGAGTTCTTACCCTGTCAGTTGTCTCTTTAAAAGACTTGAGGCACTCCTCTGTTTTTATATACATAAGGTATGAGCAGACTATTAGAACGAAACACAGTTAGGGTTGAAAATATGAGTAGCTGGCTCATCTCCCCAGTTAGGCTGTAAGCGTCTTAAGGGCATTTATTTTACGGATGTGTATCGACCCCCCCTAAGTAACACAGAGCTTTGAATGTGTATGCACGTATTTGTTGAATAAAATTACCGTGTCCCATGTCTCTCACTAAGTGCCAGAAATAAATCAGCAAGAGTTGAGAAATGGTTTTGATGACATGCCCATGAGTTAGGGATTCTTCTCAGACTGCGGACGGTCTTCTGGGATCACCAGTCCTCTCTGCTGTAGCCTCGATGTGTCTGTTGTCTTTCTGCCTGTGGCCCATTCTGCCTTTGTCAGCAGTTAAGACGCTTTCCGCAAGGGAGGCATATTTTTATATCTTAGTCAAAATGAAACTGAAAAAGATCTTTTCCTTTCGGTTCTGATGGGGAGGTGAATCGGTTCTGATGGGGACGTGAGAGGTTTTCATGAGCTGCCATGTTTCAGTTACATGAGTAGCTGCAGATCCTGCGTTCATCTGAACTCACTATTAAGTGTTTTATGTATGTTAAAACATTTCTGTAACAGCTCGCCCATCCTTTGATTATGAACAGTGACCGTATCACATTGGTCTTAAATAACCTAAAAATTTAGAAGCTCTTGTGCTTTTTTCCACACTCTAATTGGTATCTCTTATCTATTTCTGAATACTG